CAGCATCCCCAGGCACCTGGTTAGATAAATAGCTTGACAGCTCCAGTTACTGCCAAGTACAGAGAGAAACTTTCTTAAACTGCTTTAAGAAGATATTAGCATTTAAGCATACCTGTCTCCAGATACCTTGCTTTATAGTGTCAGTGCACCTATGTGGACATAAACCCTTTTTACATTTACCTTCCCCTAAGCTTGTGTTAAGGGTCATTTCAATATAAAGAATACAATCCAACTCATGATGCTTATACTGTACCCACTTAAAGCTGTGAGCCTTCTCACAGCTCCCAACACCCTTTACAGTCCTCATGTGAGTTCATAAGGTAACCTCTACTGCCTAGGACAGCTCAGGCATTAGCAAGAGTGTGTCTGGAAACTAGCGGATATCAAAGGTTCACTGACATGCAAAAAGATAAGAAGGAGACAGTCTGAATTCTGCAGGCTTGCCAATGAGCTGAAGAAATCATCAATTAACTATTATGTGCAAAGCAGAAGCCTCCAAGTTCCAGAAAATGGAAAACCTGCTTCATACTAGATAACATGCCAACTTGCTGCAGTACAGCACAGTGGTTCCCAAACCTGGTCTTAGGTTCCACTGTATTCCTGCTGGTCCTATAGAGCAGGCTGCCTCCCATTACAGCAACTTACTGCCAATCAGGTGATCCTTAGTATCTCACAATACCTGCAATACAGGAACCCCTGTGCAAGTTAAGAAGTTCCAACAGGAGCTAGAATACAGCAACTCACAGCACCCTTACCCCACCCCCCAAAAATGGTGGTACTTTGGCACACTAACATGTGCAGAACCATTACAGGTACTGACTGTGACTGCCCATTCTGACCCCCAGTATCACAAAGGCCACAGCGTTCCACTGCACAAGCATGACAGTCTCAATGTAAGGTTCTCAATCAAAGCTTAAGCCAATGCTCCAACAGTTTCTCCTTAAATCCTTTTTTTTTTTTTTCGCGAGTTGCTACTTTACAAAAGACAGTCCTCAACTAAGTATAAGCTTTACCGTCAAAGTGAAATCTTGGCCTCAGTGAAGTCACCACCAAAAATCACTACTGCTTTTAATGAGCTCAGATCCATATTTTGTTGTATGAGATTTACATGACAAAATGCAAACTTCTACATCGAGGTTAACCATCTAGCTTCCCTTGATCATCAGTGAAGAAAAACAGACACTTTTAGACTTATCTTCTCCTAAAGACGACACCTAAAATAGGTTGACTGATTTATACCCAAAAATGCTTTTTTACCTCCTCAGGCTGAAACAAAGATTTAAGTGACAAGCTCTATATTGCAGATATCTAAAATAAGCAGAAAGAAACCCACACAGAATTTTATTCTTGGTTTTCAGATGAAAACACACCTTGTATAAATGGAACCAAGCATACCACATAATACAGACTGCTCTGTAGAAAAGACCAGGATACATAGTTATTCATCACTCCTTCACCAGGAAGGCTCCAAATATTTAGATACCAGACAATGAGATGGAAAGTTGGAAACGTTAACTGTCCATATGACCAATAAGCTGAAATAAACTTTTCAAATCATTTTATCAGGTTCTCTGGAGATCCAATAAGATTAGCACATTCTTGATACTGTGGTAACCGACAATTGATTTTCTATTTGAATAAAGTTACTTCAGCTATTCTGTGTATTTCCTGTATAGTATCATTACATTTCAATATCTTCACAGATTAAGAGTGAACAGAACAGTAATAATTTTGCTTCTCTGCAGTTTCAACATCCTAACCGTACTCTTTGCTACAACAGTATATACTCACTGATTTATTCAACATCACCTCTTCCCTGATGTGTCTTTGGTTCAATTACTTAAAGAGGAGTTATAGCCTCACTATGGATAACCTTCCTGTATTTCCACCCAGCTTCAAAAATCTGTCTTCCAATTTTTCCCCTAATTTTCACCTTGCCTGCCAAAACTAACATTCTATTTGCAATCTCTGAACTGGATTCCCAGGAACAGGAGAAACTTCTTATGCCCTGTCATATACCACAGTACATTTTTTTCCTTGTCTTTTTGTCAACACTGGTTGTTCCTAAAAATGGATATTGATTACTTGGACCTTAATTCCCTTATTTTTGCTTTCTTACCGTTCCTAGTTAATTATCTTACATAAAACTATTTATCATATATCCTACCACACCTTGAAGGAGAAGATCAGACTACTGACAGATGGAAATATCTCAATAAGACACAAATTGTAGAGATACAATACACTAGATCATAACAGTAACTCTGAAACTGAAAATTGTGAAATATGCAAGTATCAGACAATGGCCACATTTTTTCCAAAAGAAATTTAAATTTTTATCTAGCGCTCCTTTAGACTTGAACTATATAAAAATAAATTTATAAATTTTCTAAGGAAAAAATGCTAAATATTGAAGGCATATAACCAGTGGAAACCTTTCCAACTTCTACCAAGACCACAACTTTTGCTGAATTCTACTCATCAGAACATATTTCAATAACTTATTGAAAGAGCTTGCAGTAACTGCATAACACCATGTGATTTATGGCTGCAACATATACTTTTACAAAAACAAAACCTATTTAAGTAACAGGCTGTTAGTGCAACAGGACTCTGACATTCAACATTTGTGGAAAAGCAGATGCATCTTATACATGCACTGCTGTGTTTGAGTAAATTTACCCCTCTACAGTCACCATTTCCATCTTTCTTCTTAGTGTTAAATATATAGTTTTACTTTACGTATCCATAGGAAATTTCATTTTCCAACTTATTGATGTGCTTCTTCCATTTTCTAGATTAAGTAACTTTAACAGCCTGGTTACCCTTCAGAATATATATTTGACATAATCTCTATTACGCAGTGAATATTTTGGAGAGGAAACTCATTTTTTTTCTTATGCACACCCTCATGTCTTATAACTTACATAATTTTCTAAGACCTTTCTCTTGCTTCACCGTTCATCTTTACCGCTACTACGCAACATGAACAAAGGCTTCTTCTCAAAGAGGACCAGCTAACATTCAAGGTCTCTTTTAACATAGCCATTTCTATGATTCAGAACATGAAAATCTTTCACAATGTTTCAAGAGGTAATTATTAATATCAGTATCTTGATAAACCATATTTTGGCCTGGAATCATATTTCATTATATTGAAGATTGTTTATTATTATATTTCAGTATATTAAAGACTCTGTTTCAGTATGTTACAGGCTCTGAAGCCTTTTTTGTGTTGTGACAGTTTTTCTATAGCTGATACTTCTTTCCAGAAGGACTCAATAGCTTTTTACAAGACATTCTTTTAAAATACACTCCGTAATGAAGACTCGATTCATTATTAAAAAAAAGTCACAATCGTTAAGAGCAATTTTGAATATAAACAGTCATCTGTTCTTACAAGTCAGGGCTGAAGTATACAAATGCTGTCGTAGTGACAATTAAGTAACAAGCTCTGAAGAATTGATATTAGCCTTCATTTTAAGAAATACTAGAATTTAAATTAAACAACAACTTAAAATGCTTCAGCTACCTTTCAGGTGACCTACATACTATGTTTATAATTGGTACTTATCAAACAACTACAGATAATGATTCTAAAGATTATATGGACTCCAATTCGTATCAAAGCTGGAGTACCAGCAACAGGCTTGTAAAATTTTTTTTTTTTTTTTCAGTGTATTAAACAAGTTGTCTTATTGGCAACAGAACCATGTCTTGTTTCCAGCTTACTTCTGGCATGTGAACCCTAGCTGTTCCTCAGGGCACTCAGAGGGACCAAGGTGCTGCTTTAGTCCAGTCCTGTACTTGCACTGACTAGCCAAACAGAACATAAAAGATCAGACTACCACCTGCCAGAAAAAGTCATTTTCATCTAGCCAGCCATCTGCTTTCACAAGATTTTTAAGAAGCAAATACTTTTTGACATCTACCCCTCTTTAAAATACAGCTGAAACGTGTGAGTGAAATCAAAAATCAGTAGAAATTACTACATCACAGACCAACAGACAGCACGACTGTTTTAGATGCCATTTTGTTCAGAAACCAGGCCAAAACAATCTGATTTCAGACCCTGTACCAGACTCTCCGGGGTGGGGGGTGGGGAATAAAGTCTGTGTGCTGCTGAAAAAAGAATTGTTGCAGGAAAAGGTAACTGGAAAATATGGCATGTCCACCTATTCAATAGTTTATAATATATAGAATACGTTGTTTTCAGTCAATTATAATCCAAGATTTGCTTTCATATTTATGGTAACAACATAACAAGGGAGTGAATTTCTACTGGTTTTATCTTGATTAGTCAATAACCTGGAGGTCTGATGCAGAATCAAACAAGCAAATAATCATTCAGATCAGCTCACCCCAAGTTTAAGGAACGGCTTTCATTTTCTGGAACAAAAAAGTTTACTCTCCTTCAAGAACACCAAATCTATTTTATTTCCCACCAACAGTTCCAAAAAATTGCTCAGTATTTTAAGTTAGTTCCACAGTAGAAAAGTATACACTGAGTACAAAATTCTTATACACAACTTATTTAGTAAATATCACTTCAAATGATTATTAACCTCAAAGTTTTCTTTATTTTTTAATTAATATTTACCTCTGAGATAACTAAATCTTCATGTTTAATCTTTTTTCCACATACCAAAAAAAGTTTCCTTAATGTTAGTGAATCAATGTGCAAATAAATATTATCCTTCCATGAGGGAAATATATACATAAGAGATGATGGAGCCTTTCCATTTCCTCCCAATTTTCATCACCAATATAGCTGCATGCATGAATAAGAGCAACTGTAGGAAGAATAATTAAGCGCCACTTGTAACTTAAGATCTGACATCTTTCTGGAGGGAAACAGTATAGTATTTTAAAAAGTCCTGTTCATGATTTATTTTATAAACACAGAAGTCTAAAATCTGTACTTACTTCAACATGTGTAAATAACGTTTGTTCAATGTTATCATTGTTTTTCTCCTTCAGATCTGGTGGGAGGTTTCTACTTCTTACTTGGAACTGTGTTTTACTAAGATAACCATCACCAAGGTCCTGTGTTCAGAAAACAAGAAAGAAAAAAAATTTCTGTAACCAAGTATCATCACTGTTCTAGAAAATAAACAGAGCATGGTATTTAGGCATAAGTTCCAAGTCTCTTTATAGGCACCAATGACAGCATTGCTTTTCAGCATCTTCTCACAGGTAGTTTACACTAGTTCTTGGTGTTAAAGGAGTCAAAGACCTGAACAGCAAAAATAAAATTTAGTATAGCTATTAATTGAATAAGACAACTGCTACCTGGGGGTCAGGTTGAGTGCCAAAAAAATGGAACACAGTGCACTAAGGTCACGAAGAGATGAGCAGCTATTAACAATTTTGATCTATCTATTTCAAGCAGTATAAACTTGTCAATTCTTGGTAGACTGGTTTAGTTTTGCTCTATTCCCCCTCTAACTTTCTTAAAGTCCTGGAAAAAAACAACAACAACACTTCAGAACTTAACATGTGCAGAGTCACAATTTGTTCCCTTCTCTTGATCACATCTGAGGGTCAAATGTAAGAGAAAACAGACAAAGCTGTACCTTCTCCCAGTTCCCTTCTTATCATTCTGCTTCCCAGGCCATATGGTCTACTGTTGTAAAAGGTCCTTGTGCAATTTCAGAGTGGCAGGAGAATGTTTTAGGAGGTTTCCCCCCATGCTGACCTGACTATCTGCACACATATATAAACATTTTTCTTTTTTTAATTGGAAGTAAGAGGAAAGAAAAAGTTTAATAACAGATCACTGGAAAAAATGTACACGCTGAAAGGGGAGAAAGAGTACACAGAACACAAAGAACAGTAGTTGCATGTTAAGAACTTATTTCTCAAAGGAAACAAATAAATTGGGGTTTTATTAGCTGTTTCATTACGTTTTATTTTAGACAAACACAGAAAGCATATGTGCAATATCTGATGAAAAAGGATTCTATTCAAAACAGTCTGTCTACAAAATTCATTAATGTAGCATTAAATTGCTTGACAAGGCTGCAAATTTAACTATAATTTAACTCTTTGGTTAATCCGTCATTGCTGACAGAGTTTATTTCATGTATTCTGACCTTTAAATCAACATGGGTTTTATTCTGACACACTAGCTCTCTCTTTTCAAGGACACTGTAGAATAGATGTACCTCCAAAATCTGCTATGGACTACTTGTTTACTTTGTTCTTACCAAGTTTCACACATAAAAAATGATAATGCTCTCTACATGTATTTTGTCCATGAATTTCTAAGCATGACTCATACTATGAACAATTACCTTGCTCATAACTTCTCCTATTGCATGCTTTATTTTCTCACTAAATCTCATCAAGAGCATGAATCCACCAAACTCTGCTGGATGTCCTGGCTGCAAAACCAACTGCATCCTGTGCAATGAAGATCAACCATGCAGAGGACAACAGTGACAGAAAAATTAAGCCTAACTTGGTGATACAAAAGCCACTTCTTTTACTCTCAACACTCTCTCAAGTCTCTCCTTGTGGAACTTCATGTGAGCGTCAGCAGGAGTAAAGCTACCTGCATTGGTATTTATCCCTGTAAAAGCAGCAAAGAAAGTGCTAGAGCCACCCACAGAGGTAAAATGCCCCAAGGCACAATGAGCTTTGCCAGAGAAGGGTTGGATGTAGTGTTCACCTCCCTGAACCAGTTCTTCCTGTCAGCAGAGAGAAGCCAAGCTCCATAGCCTTTGCATTCTGTAGTATTTGAGTGCCATGAAAAAGTATCTATGGATAGCTAGAAATGTGGAGTTAGCAGTGTCTGTATTTGACAGCTGTATGTCAGAGGCTACAGGAGAGGTGGCAGGAAAGAGAAGCATCCCTCCTGTTGCACTCTCTGTAGTGTTATGTATTTTGTACACTTCTGCCCCTACAAATAAATCAATACTTCAGTGAGGACTTTGATCCCATTAATGTGGAAAGGGAGTCCATTTCTACTCCAGCTGTCTTGTGAGTATCATAAGCAAAAGTGAACTGATATAGCCTTTTATATGATTACATAGATTAATCTAACTAAATATGAAACAAACATAAAGCAAAAGGCAAACAGGGCAGCCTTCACGGCCAAGATTTAACTCTCCATCCCTAATAACAGCACTGAAGTTTAGCTCCATGAGGTTCTACAGTAGAGGTGCTCTTGGCTTTTTTACAGCTTTCTTCTGGGAAAAAAAAACAGATTATAAAAATAACATAGTTTAGAACATTTCACTTACAGCTATAAATACAGGGTTCTGCTTGGGCCATGCAAGCTTATGCCACAACAGCAAGCTCCACAAAAACAATGAGTATTTCATCACCTAAATTTAATCTCTACAGAAAACATAGGAACACAAGAACACAGTTCTACAAGCCTGGTTTACTTGTGTGGTCTTATTGCTATCAATGGCTCTATTCACGTAAGTATGGAATGAGGAATGGGATCCAAGTGCATTACATCAGCAAAATTAAGAGTGCCCCAAACTACCCACAACACATACACTGGTAAAAAAAAGCAAAAAGACAATGAGACATCTTGTTAACGAAAAGCTTCCTTCCCAGACTGCATACTATAAACGGATGGTCTCAATGGCCCGGTTTTCCTCGCACACTGAAATCACAGTCACCAACTTGGCCCATTAAAAAAAAAATCTCTTACAATTTTTTTGTATGTGAGAACAAAAATCTATCTCATTCTGCTATTTCCAGCAAAGCTTCTTATTTCACAGAAAGTTCAAACTTTGACCCATGTATTAAATTCCCAACAGAGGCTCAGAGCATCTTTCTTTGTTGAATAAATCCTCACAAATAGAGCCTTGGACAGAAATCTAAAGTTTCAAATGGTTGCCTGTAAGAAAGAGTGCATTGTAACATTTGGCTAATATTTGCACTCTCTTAAAAACTTCTAAACAGAATGCATCTAAGGCAAAGATCCTGCTTCCCACTGAAAGTGTTTCATCTGTGATGAAAGGGTTACATATGCTAATGTACAATTACTTATGTAGAAATGATGGCATACATTTACTCTGACACATCTTGCATTTCAAAATGGTACAAGCATGATTTTTCTCTCCAATAAAAGCCATTAAACCAATAAAGCCATTAAACTAAAAAAAAAAAAAAAAACAGAAAAAAAAAACCTAGAGCAGTACATTTTCTGCAGCAGAAAGAATACACAGAAAATGAGTATCCCAAACCACCCATTACTGAAAACCAATCAGAGAAGCAATGGAACATATGAAAACCTATATTGCCCACCCATCAAAAGAAGTGTGACAAAAAGAAATCCTAGAACTGTGTGGATTTCTTATTAGATGGAAAGTGACAGAAGCATTCAAAGTAGAAAAAGCAAGTATTCAAAATATTTCTGTTGTTATTATAGAACAAACACAAATTATGTAGCCATAAGCCATAACTATTACGAAGTTTTCATTTCAGCAGTGGTTAAGCAGGACCTTAGCATGAAGTGCTATCATTAGGTATTTTCAAATCAGTATGTAAGAACTGCTGATTTTTGTCAAGTCTTCAAGCACTGTGGAAGTTTCAGAGAATTTTGAAGAAAGCCAGCATTATCCATATATCTTTATATCCTGGGTAATTTGTGTAACTATACACATATTAGCTTGACTTCATCCCAAGCAAAGTATAAGAAGAGATCATACAGAATTCAGTAAATACAGAAATATATACAGTAAATGTAGTTATTTAAGAAAAATAGATTTTGTCAGGGTGACTTAAAAAGACATGTTTCATTGATAAACATGGAAGTCATAACAATGTAGCCTCAGACTTCCAAGGCAACTGTTGATTCCACAAGCAGAAATTAAAAAACTAAAATAATCCCACACTAACTTGATACACATTAACCAATGAAAAAATGATTAATTCACAGATCTAAAATGTAACTTAAAAAATAGGGAATCATCATAAAAGAAGTGATTCTAATGGCCTCCTGTGGGACTACTCTGGGCCCTGCATTATTTAAAATTTTGATTAATGACCTAGAAACAATATGTAATTATTATTGGCGAGGTTTGAAAGTCATGGAGAAGCAGCAAATAATGAGGATTGATCACTAATACAGACAGATTCTTCTGGTTGTTGTATGCAACTAACATGTATTTTAATATAAAATATTAGTCACACATCTAGAACAAAGGTATGTTCTATCTCAGCTTAAAGGGTTAAAGTGATCCTTGGATATATAACCACAAGCACTTGCCCGGAGTAGGAAGGTTTGCATTTCACAGTGATACAACATTCATTGTCTAGTTCTGCCCACAGCTGAAAAAGGATTTTTATATACTGGAAAGGATTCAGAGGAGATCCACAAAACTGATTAAAATATTGGAAAACACATCAAATAGTCAGGGAGCTCAACAAGTTTTGCTTTTACACTGACAAGGTTAAGGGATGAATAGATCTGAATCTAAAGTACCAAAACAGGGAGAGTTCTGATAAAAGACAGGTCCTCGACTTAGTAGACAAGCTACAGCTACCAATGGCTGGAAGATGAAGCTAGGCAGTTAAGATTAAAAGTAACAGCTTTTTTTTTTTTTTTTTTAATCAATTTTAAGCATAGCCAACTATTCAAAAGCCTTGTTGAGAGCTGTGACTGTTTCCCCATCATTGGGAATTCTGAAAATGAAGACTGCATAATGTCTTAAAAAGACATTTTCTGATCACAACAGAAATCACCTCAGGTAATCCTACCCCTTTGTTACACAACAGGTTGCACTAGGCCATCCCAGCAGTTGTTTCTGGATTCATGAACCCCATTCAATACATGCACTGGCCTAAATCCTCATGTAAGCCACCTATGCACTATTTTGTTCTTGGACCAGCTGTGTAAAATCCCATTTATTTCACATGTTGTAAACCTCTCTTAAAGGATGTTCTGGCTTGTGGTGGTTGTCAACAGCTTAAAAAGGCCAGCAAGAGCATCTAAAAAGTAAACTGTGATTATTTTACCTTGCTAGTTCTCCACTCCCAACCATCTCCTATCTGCTGTGAATGTTTAATAAATTCTTCACAGTACTGTTTGAATCTTTTTTCTTCCAAAAAGAGGTCCTCTTCACCCGCCATGTTACAGGACATCTGCAGAGCAAACTAAATGTTAGTACTGACAGAAGAAATGAACACTAAAAACTTTCACTGATTTAAAGCAATTGAATCATAAAATTAAAACACACTCGGGGGAAAAAAATGTTTCTTTAAGAAAAACAGACATGTTTCTTCAAGTACATTAGACAATCATAGATACACAGAATGGCTGAAGTTGGAAGGGACCTCTGGAGATTGTCTAGTCCAATCCCCCTACTCGCAATAGGGTCAACTAGAGCAGGTTGCTCAGGATTCTTTCCAGCTGGGTTTTGATTATCTCCAAGGGTGGAGAAGCCACAACCTCTCTAGGGAACGTGTTGCAGTGTTCAGTTATCATAGCAGTAAATAATTTTTCTTCTGTTTAAATGAAAAAATGTTATCAGGTTGTGCTCATGGCCTCTTGTGCTTTCACTGCATAGTACTGAAAAAAGTCTGGCTCAACCTTATTCCCTCCACTTTATTCCCTCCCATCAGGTATTTATAAGATCCCACTGACCTTCCCCTTCTCCAGGCTGAAGAGTCCCAGCTCTCTCAGCCTTGCCTCACACGTCAGACACCCTTAATCATCTCTGTGGCCCTTCACTGGACTTGCTCCAGCGTGACATTGTCTTTCTTGTACTGGGGAGCCGAGCTGGACACAGTAGTGCAGTGTTGACATATGTTTCCTTAGCAATATGGTCCAAGAGATGACCAGAAACCTGAATCCAGTCATGGGCTACTTCCATGGGCCTACCACCTCTTCCTTGGGCAGCTGAACAGCTCCACAAAAGCTTAACAACTCTAGTGTTTATGGACCCAGAGCCTACACAACAGCCATCAGAGTCCAGCTGAAGCAACTGTTCATGCTCATGCCAGCAGTACAGCTCTCAATGGCCCAACAATGTGGCTTCAGGGGGTTATAGCGTGCTTCAAATGAGCACCTTCCCTCCCCCCCAGATGCTTCCCTCCCACGGTCTTAAAGATAACAGAAAAACTCTCTTAAAGAATCTGGCCAGTTTTACGTTCTTCCCCTCTTTCACAGAGGATGTGTCATAAATACAGCTGTTTCAATGTATTCATAGACATCAGGCACCACTGCAGCACCACATGCAAATACTCAGTAACAATTACTAGACCACACCTTTTCTTAAGAAGAAATACAAAGGACACAGCACCTCATGCAGTGTTCATTATTCTTCAGGATCTGGCCCTATATCACAACATCATCCTGCCTGCCCATGACATAAGTTATCTATCTAGCGCTTGAAAATACGTTCTTTTCGATGGCAGTTAAGCCAAGCCCTGGATGCCAGGGAAGAGGAAATGTGGGAAACAGACACTGTAAATGTTTCTGCGATTCCCAAACTTCCCAGACTAGACAATGGACTGCAAAGCTGCGGTTAAGCGCCCGTAACGACAGCCTCGTCCTGACATACGTTCCAGGCAGGGCTACGTGCTTTAGGAAATTAGCAGCTGTGAAGAGACACCAGGCTGCTGGTACCTGTGCAGCACGCCTCCCTTTCTTTCTGAAACCACCCCAGAAAGAGTGACGAGCAGATCCCAACTCATCCGTCTCACTCGGCCGCGGGCCTCGCAGGCGGCAGGGCGGCCAGGCGAGCCCCCGGCCGGGCCGACTCCTTCTCCTCCTCGCCCACCCCGCGCTGCGGAGCCCCTCCCGCCACGCCACGCCACGCCGGGACGG